GGATAAGGGAAGGGAAGAGGGGGGACTGGAAGACAGCCATCAAAGCTTATGAGCCTGCCCTCCTTGTTTCAAATTGACAAATTGTAGCCCACGTTGAATTGCCATCCGCCTCTGAGCCCAAACCTCTAGGTTAGTTAGGCACAACAGCTTGTAAATTAGCATGAAGGTAAAGCACCCCTAGGATTTCTGTTTGGATCATGGGAGGGTTTGGGATACAATTCAATTAAGAGTCCAGGGTAGTGGTGACATTAAAACTTATCCTACAATTTCAGCAGTTCTTAGTGTACGAAAACTACATTCTGTGAGATTTATATTCTGTGCTTTTTCTACATTAACTGACACCACATCATTGTTCCAACTCTTTCCTCTGGCTGTTCTCCCTGAAAAGAGCTGCTATCATTAACTTCTGCCCTGTGGCTGCCTTTGTAGTGTGTTCAGTGTATTGCTGGCAAAATAATATTTACTTAAGGCTACATTTTGGCTAAATTGGGGTAAAACTTGAATATAGGAGTAAGTTCTGGAAGGAAAGAAAGCGTCTTATTTTAATGGCATGGTTTTCAGGCTTAGAGTTATGGAGGTAATTGGTGAAGAGTGTTCAGAAGCAAGTTGCATACTACTGAAATCTGTCCGTTCTGACCTCTTATGCATAGTGGCCTATGTGGTTGTTGTAATTGTAACGTTCAGTGCAATTCTGTTATATTTCTTATCGTGCACACAGCAGCACGTAACTCTCAATAGGCTTGAGACTTTAAAGAAAAAAAAAGAAAGAAAGAAAGAAAGAAAGAAGTCCCTGGTTCAGTGCTGGCTACCTATACCAGCACCTAGTCTGTCCAGCCAGATGTGCCTGTCTCTAGCTATCTCATTCTCTCTCCTCTGTTTTACCTCTTTGTGCTTTGTGTTAGCTTGTAGCAGGGTGCTTGTGGGCAATTAGCTGCTTAAATGCCTTTAAAATACTCTATTGGAAAGAAATGATCATTTAAGGTCTTTACTGAATTCGATGCTATAGGGTTTTCATATAAAATCTGAAGGCACTTTTGAAATACTAATCATTATTTTTAAATCTACCAAAAATGCAGATGAGTAACACTGATTTAAAAAGAACAGAAGTTAAAATGGACTGGGGGGGAAGGGAGACAATGATAAATACAGCAATAATAGCTGTCATGTAAAAAACAAAAAAAAAACCCAAACAAAAGAACCCTTTTTCGAACTACCAAACAAATCTTGAAGTATTTGTTTCCTTACGTGGGAAAATAGTCTGAAACAGCTGTGTGGGTGGAGTGGTCCGTTCCCTCAGCACCAACATCCCAAATAGTAACTGACTTGAAATGTAGAAGCTGAATCACCAAAAAGTGGAGGTACAGCCATGTGACTACCCATCAGGGCAAAAGCTAAGATAACTAGAAAAAATCAGACTCCTCCACTATTCAGAGCTGGAAATGGATGCTGTCAAACTGAAGTAGTAGCAACTTTTAAAGAAAAGAGCAAAACTCAACAACCTCATTTCAGGTCATGTCTTAGACTCTAAGTCCCCAGACAGTTTGTGGTATTTGACAGTCTCATTTCCCTGTTTTGTAAAAGTATCAGTCTTCCTCTATGTGAAGCTGGTTGACTATACATGAGAAAACGTTCAAATAACTATGCAAACTTTCTTCATTTCCTTATAGAAAATAATTTATTGCGGGATTGCCCTGGCCATTCTGTTCCAAGGAAGAAGGCATCACTCTAATGGGTAGCGGGTGTAATTCTACTCTGTTCCTAAATACACTGATCTCTTTTATTTATTTTACTCAGTTATATGTTGTAACAGCAATGGGTTAAAAGAAAGCGAGACAGGACTGTGACTTGTTGACAGTGTCCCTTTTAAATACCAGAATGCCAACTTGAAATCAATCCACCGCATTCTAGCCGAACAATGTAAGGAACGCAGGACAGCAGTAATATGATCAGATTTGCTCAAACCGCTGAGCAAAAGTGCTGCTGTGTTCTGAGAAACTGCAAGCGTTGGAGATGTTTATTTCAAGAGATTGAAAAGTATCAATCCACATAGCCACAAAGATGTGAAAGGAGACAGGGACCTGAGAGCCCCTTCTGACGTGTGCTGATGGCCTTCACGGTTCATGGCTCAAGGGAATTAAAAACTGATTTAATCCTAGTTAAGAAGCGAAAAAAAAAAAAAAAACAGGACTTCATAAGTCTTTGAGGAGTCGAAGAAACACACGTGTGATACTAAATGTTTTTTAGCCCAGGGATAGAGAAACACACCATGTAGCTGAGAGAATTATGTTTAGATTGAACATCCACTCACAGGACATAAACTGATCAGTAGCAAAGTAGTTTTCCATGAATTGCCTCCTGTTCTCTA